TCAATGAACACCTTGTCGGTTGGCAAGGTGTTGTCCTGCACCTTGGTCAGATCTTAAAGGAATAGTTCGCTCAAAAATAAAAATGTACTGAACATTTACTCATCCTCAGACCATCCAAGATGTAGATGAATTTGTTTGTTCATCGAAACAGATTTGGATAAATTTAGCATTACATCACTTGCTCACCAATAAATCCTCTGCAGTGAATGGGTGCCGTCAGAAATAGAGTCCATAATGAGTCAAAATCTCACATCAAAATCCACCAGCATCTTTGTTTAAAATGGTTTTGAACAGTTTTCGCTTGTAAATGGTGCTTTATTTGTGCATGTTTCTCTCCTGATTCCTCTTGATCACTGGAGAAAGCAATAATATGGATAGAGGACTCGTATTTTAGATGAAAATCTTAATGATGAATTTGTTTATTACAAACACACAGCTTTTTACTTCACAAGGTATTAATTGATTTACTGGAGTTGTGGATTACTGTGATGTCTTTATCAGCTATTTGGACTCTCATTCTGACGGCACCCATTCACTGCAGAGGATCCATTAGTGAGCAAGGGAAACAAACTCATCTCATCGTGGGTGGCCTGAGGATGAGTAAAAATGTACACATTTTTATTTGTAGGAGAACTATTCCTTAGAATGGCCGATCTAGTCGCATTCATTGCTACAAATAAGCTTCAAAACTATGCTCTGAAGCTTTTTAATACTAATGACACTAAAGTGTTTTTGTAAAAAAGAAAACAATGGTTTTTTTTCTGTGCACAAACTTTTTATGCACATTCTTTTCTGTTTATGCACAAGCGCCTTACTTATCGATCCAGGCCTATAAGCAGCCGGCTCTCCTCCTCCTTTTGACTTTCGTTTTTCAGGTCAGAGAAAACCTGCGTGAAGTAGTGCGGGTCAGAGTTAAGTTGGAGCATTTTGCTACTCATGCGGTTGATGATCGCCAGACTGCGATTCCAGAATGCATCCTTATCCGTCTCCACCAGGAAGGGCTTGAGCGGGTATGAAATCTCGTTTCCCATGTAGGAGTAGGACAGGTAGAGGCAAGTGAGCAGCTCGGCCTGTAGCTCGCGCTCACTGGACACCTCGGCCGAAATGACCTCACGGCAGAGCATGTAGAGGAAGACTACGTTAGCCGGGGTGATGAAGCCCTGGTCCTGCCAGCCCTGCAGCAGAAGGGAGCGGTCCACGCTGCGCAGCCACAGAACAGGGTCGGCTGGGGAGAGGCGCTTCAGTCGGTAGCAGCGTCGGCACAGGAACTCGCCCAGGCTCCTCAGGAGCTCGCTGGTGGAAGCCTGCACGATCACTCTTTTGGGTGTGCCTGCATTGGTCGCTTGGCCCACCGATCCAGTGATGGAGGTCCTCTTCGCAGTGGAGGCCACATTGGCGGTGGTTTTCGATGTGGGAATGGAGCTCACGGCCGGCTCATGGGTGAAGCCGGAGAGGTTGGCACAGGACTGGGACTTCTTCAGGTTTTGGCTGTTGAGGGTGCCCACGCTCTCTTCATCTTGACTGTCCCCAGAGGCCAGCTTCTTAGAACCTTTTCTCTTGGCCGAAGCTGCCACGATGCGCTTCCATGGCAGGACATTGATGAGCGACTGACGCTTCAAGCTCTTGTCCTTGGCGTTTTTACTGTTCTGCACAGCTGTATAATGTGCCAGAGGGGGTGGTATTTCATCAAACAGGCCTGCCTTTCGGTAGCTCGGGGAGACTGAGAGTACAGTTCCCATGTTGCCTTGATTATTACGGGGTCTTTAGATACAGAATCTGCTCATAAAATAAATAAATATTAATGTTTAGAGACACAATACTGTTCTAAATAAGCTATGATTTTGATGAAACCACCAACACCACTTAAACAGAACATCCACACACACGTGCAAAACATGCATGAATTATATATATTGTATAGTATGTCTAGAAAACCAAATGTAAACATTACAATTATTTTTTTGATACATACACAGGTAGATTTCTCTTTTGTTTACTGAACTGTACCGCTGGTATGCGATTCACCAGGAGATTCAGCAGAATATGCAAAAGCATCCATCTTAGCTTCAAAATGGAAGGCGAGAATGTAAACATTCATTCCCAATTCATATCCATTTGTAAGAAAAATCCCTCTCGGTGCAAACTGGAAATTGATAGCTGACTCACAAATTATTACATTTAAGCTTTAGCACGTTTTGGAACTCATAATGTATCGAGCTCTTAAAAATGTTTAGTGGGTCAACACGAGGAAATGAGAACATCACGCTTCAGACAAAACGAGCAGTCGTAAATCAAGATAGCATCTTTATAACGATGGGCTCGTGTGCACGGTGCAATTGAGTTCTTCACATTTTGCGCACTATTTTAAAGCGAACCATTCAAAAGCGTTTTTGAAATGAACATCATTTGATTCAAAAACCAGCATAAATAGGTTATATACAAAAAATGTTGGTTACTTACTAATCAATACGTCTTCCTCGCGGTGATAAATGTAGATATAGGACAAGAAGAATAGGTAAATATAGAAATATTCGTCTATTATCCCCTTTTTTCCTCAGCGTGTCGCACTGTGGAACGTGCTCGTCGTTGTCCAAGGTTCTGAAAATGGGACGTCAGCGATGAAATAATTATTTTTTGTAAACTATGCAGGGTTCAGGATTCTCCGGTTGCTAAGGTTACTTCCCAGATGCACGCCACGTCTTCCCACATAAACCCTCGATACGGGGCAATTTTGTTGTTTCTCGTCCATCACAATCAATCTCGGGTCTGTTTCACATCTGCCCGTCTGTGATCTTGTTGTTGAACTGCGCCGGCGGAGGAATAACACGCTATCGGCTTGAGTGTAACTGGAAATGCGTAAAAATAAAGGTCCGTGCCAGTGAAGTCGATGAATTGCGTTCATTGACCGCTATTTTTCGAGAGAGAGGGGGGCATTGGTGCTCTCTCGTGGAGATGCTGAATCTCAGATGGGTGGCTGAGCTCCCTCTGGTTATCTGTCCATGCTTCATGCGTGCGCTGTCCACAGCACCAGCATCTGTTATAACGCTTCCTGAGTTTGAACATGAAAGGTAGACTTTTAACTAGTTTAGACGCCCTGTTTTTGCATGACGGGCCATCTGTTGACAGATTACAGTCTTTAATCAAGGCCCAGAGAGTGTGGAAAGTCTCACACACAACGCTCGAGACAGATTAATTTAAATCCTGATGTGCAGTAATGTCGCCGAGGCTTTGTAGACCTCAGTGGCGCAGTGACATGAATGGGCAACCCCACCCCCCTCTGATCTCTCTCTCACACCCACCACTCTCACACACTCTCTCCGTCTCTCATGCTTATCCAATCATCCTGCTCTCACTTTTTAATAAGCAATAGTTTTCTTAAATGGCGACCCATCTGAGTGTTTTACACCCTTATATGTTAATAGTTTTAAGCTTATCCCATCCTCAAGCCATTGATGAAACAGCACTTCAGATTAAATGAAGGTGCATGCTAAGATGAGAAGACATACAGGAAAAAACAAAAACAGATAAATATGTATACAGATACTGAGTTTTTAAAATCAGGACCTCTCTATATCTATCTATCTATCTATCTATCTATCGATTTTGGCATGATGCAAGTAAATTCAGCATTCAAGTCAGTTTACATGAAAAGTCAAAAATCTTTTTTTTTTTTTTCAATCACTAGGACACATTTTTCAATACTTAGTTCAGTTTTCCAAAACTGTTTTCACATACTTCTACTTACCAACTTTTTTGATTGGCACAGCAGTAAATTTCACATTCAAAATGCACTAAAACTACCAAAACATTTCATACTGTACATGTCACAAATCAAGTCATTCTTCCATAACACTAGCAAAGGTTGTTGCACAAAAAACACACTTTGTCACTCATAAAACAATTACTTAAAAACACTTACAACAGGTAGAATTGTATTTTTGTTCTTTTGTAAAATTTCTTTACAAAACAGCTCTTTAGAATGTTTTATTCAGACATGTAGACATGTTTCGATTTCACAGCAATGTTACAGCAATGGTCCATGTTTACATTACAGTAGCCTACAAAATAGTTCTCAAGTTGATTAAACTAACACCCCAGCTTCTACATCTAATTGTTTTGAGTTTATTTAATTTTTTGGATTTCAATATGGAATTAGGTTTCAAACTTGAGTTTGAAGAATTTTCATGGTGGCTGTGTCTAAGTGAGAAAAGAAACGAATAGGCTATATATATACTGTGTGGCCACCTGACAGATCTGAAAATATTGACCTTTTTTGCCTCCAAAGCATGATTTCATTTCATAATGTTCATGAAACATGCAGATGGATGCTCTGAGCACATCAAATATCAGATGAAGTGAGTTGTACTGTTTTTATCCACTTTTAACTTTAATATTTGGTATGTCAACCTTTTGCAGCAATTACAGCAGCATAGTGTCAATATATTTCCTATTTAACTTCAACACTAATGTTATCCCATGCCTTCTGAAACTCAAGGCTTTCCTTTGAATGTACAATAGATCTGTCCAGTTTATTTTCCAACTCGCCCCAAATTTGCTCGATGGGGTTGAGGTCCGGACATTGAGGGCCCAGTCAATCATTAATGTTCCAGCAGATTCCTTCCGTCGCAGGTCCAGCAATAGTTTGTTTTATGGGTAAGCCTATTGTAATGGCCAATTCAACAAAAACAATTGAAACCTCTTAACTATGCCAAGTGTTCTAACAATTTTGGCCACCACTGTAAATTGAAAAATATCCTCACTAAATGTATTTGAAAATATTTGAAAAGCAGTTGAAAATGATCCACAGTGTAGCTTAGCCTACATAGATTGCCATTATGCCCACTATGTGAAGAATTTATTTTTAAAAATGGGTCGAGATTGTAAAAAACTGTATTTCTGATCAGCTAAACCCAAAACCCAGCACAGCCTCCTGGAGTGAGTCATGCAGCCCACGGCCTCTGTGAACTCAATCTCCCAGCGTGCCTCGGCGGCGCTTCCGGTAGCGTGTGCAGTGATGATTGTAATGTGAATCAGGCAATTGGTGAATTGGTAAGATGGCGGCTGCGGCGGTAGAGTTTCAGAGAGCACAGTCGCTGCTCAGTACGGATCGGAATGCGTCCATTGACATTTTACATGCCATAGGTAAGCGCTTTCTGTCCCGCTGGCTTTTGAACCGCTTGTGTTAATTTAGCAGAATAAACTGTGCTTTTAACACACGGATCATGTCCCTCATGTGATTTGTAGAACAGCAGCTAAATGTGTTAGCCGGTTTCATGCTGCTGACTCACTGTGACAAGCGTGAGAAAGACTATAGCTGGACAAATACACTGTGCTATTACTCACTGTTAACTTTATAAACGAGATGCTGCGCTCTTTCAGACTTTGTCCTCAAAAGTAGTTTTATTGCTTGTAGAAAAGACCATTTTCAGTGAACTGCCACCAGTGTAAACAGTTAGCTTCAGTTCTCGATGAACGCGAATCCCCATGTAGTGATCATCTGAATTTATTTGGAAAAACAGGGATACATAATGTTTGTGTTTAGGTGATCGGCCTCCTAAGTATGGTGAATTATGTACAATTAGAGAAATTACGAATTATGAAGGAACTACCACAACTTTGCACGACAACTGAATTAGCTTCGCTAGCTAACGTTAGTGACATTCAATTTGCTTAATTATGACATTTAGGTATGAATTATCATAGTGGAAGGACAACTGATGTCAAGAAAGTCTGAGAAATGTAATTTCTACTACATTGTGGCAGATGAGTCATTAAAACATGACTGACCGGTTCTTAACATTTACAGTCAGTGGTCAAAGATTCTCTCTTATCGCTTAGTTATGCTATAATGTGTCAATGTCAGCGTTTAGTTTGGTATTAAGTTTGATATGTGTTAGTTTGTCACGGGTAATTTGATAGCATGCCACGCCGTTTTTTGTTTTTTTTGTTTATCTGCTGCAGAATATTATGTTTCAAGCGTTTTAACCGTTTTTTAAATCTCTTTATATAACAAATAGGCGATCTTTGTTACAATAAATCCAAAAAATTCAAAAAGACAAATTTAATAAGCAAAGCAAATTATAATCTAAATTAAATGAACCTTACATCAAGTAATTTAGAGACTTTAAAGGCATTCCTTTATCTTTTGCTTTAATAAAGATTGAATTAATTTAATCTTGGAGCAACTTTAGGAAACGTATATATATTTGTATAAATTAAGCAAAAATTTAAATACTCTGTCTTACAAAGGTGTCCATGTTCCCTTTCTGTTATCAACAGCTTTTGAAGCTCACAAGTCTAGCAGTAATTTAGTTGAGGGTCATGATGCACAAGATGAACTTGCCTGTGTTGTCTCCAGAAAGTCTAAGCTAACAGAGTTTAAATATAGTGTTGGGCTTAACGTAATTAAATTGAATAGTAAAATTATCTACTTGATATACATTCACAGTCAAACGAGACATCCAAGACAATGACGAAGAGGCTGTGCGTGTCAAAGAACAGAGTATCTTGGAGCTGGGCGGACTGCTGGCCAAGACTGGACAAGCTGCTGGTAAACATCTTTAACTAGTGGGTCATGGCCCAATCAGTATACACATATATTAATGGGTCCGATGTTTTTGAAGGCCACTGCTCTGTCAGCTGTCATGTTTCTCAAGGTTAGTGTCTATTGCGCATATGTTGGTATTTTGCAGAATTGGGAGGTTTGCTGAAGTATGTCCGGCCATTCCTGAACTCCATCAGCAAAGCAAAGGCAGCACGGTTGGTGCGCTCTCTGCTCGATATGTTCTTGGACATGGAGGCAGCTACTGGTCAGGAGGTGGAGTTATGTTTGGAGTGCATTGAATGGGCCAAATCAGAGAAGAGGACCTTTCTACGACAGGCCCTGGAGGTGAGCACACCCAGTTTTGTAAATCAGAGGCTTCAGAAAACATCACCATTACTGTTGCTATATGTAGTTTTTTTCAGAAGGTGCACTCTGTAAATTTTTGTTTTATGTTGAGTTTGGACAATGTGTTACTGATGTTTGTGCCAAGGTAAAGTGACTAGTATTTGACTGGTCATGTGATCTTGACATGACTGTCACTAGTTCGCTGTATGAGGCAGGCTTGAGAGAATATGAGTGTATTCAAACTTAAATTCAGACAATATTGTGCTTTTTTTTGTGATGCTGTGTACACTACTGTTCAAAAGTTTTTGAAAGAGGTCTTTTAAGTTATAAAGGCTGTATTTATTTTAATAAAAAAAATAATTTGTATTTATCATGCACAGTAAAAGCAGTAATATTGTGAAATATTATTGCAATTTAAAAAACCTTTTCTGTTTAAATATATTTTTATATTTATTTTTTATATTTAATTAATTCCTGTGATGGTAAAGCTGAATTTCCAGCATCATTACTCCAGCCTTCAGTGTCACATAGTCCTTCAGAAATCATTCTAATATGATGTCATGTTATCAATGTTTAAAACAGGATTCTTTGGTGAATAGAAGGTTTAGAAGAACAGCATTTATTTAACAGAAATCTTTTGTACATTATACATGTCTTTACTGTCACTTCTAATTAATTTAAGGCATCCCTGTTGAATAAAAGTATTAATTTCTTTAAAAAAAAATCTTACTGACCATTTTGTACTGTAGTGTACATGTTGCATACGAATTGAGTTGAAATCCAGTCTGACTGTTCAGACTAAGACACTGTCCAAATCAGATTTTAATCAGAATTAAAACCACATATCAGTGCTATTTGGATAGTGCTTGCAAACATTGGATTCTATTTATTGTTTTGTTGTCAGTGCTACTAAAAAGGTCGATATGCCGAAAAGAACGAATGTCTTATCACTGTTACTTCAATCCTTTAGGCCCGTCTGGTCTCTTTATACTTTGACACCAAACGTTACCAAGAGGCTCTACAGCTTGGTGAGTCCCTGACAATACTTTCCCTCGTTGTCGGCACTTTCATGTTCTTAAGCTTGAGCGATGTATTTGCGGTCTGTAACCACTGTCCTCTTCTTCCTCGTCAATCAGGCTCTCAGCTCCTGCAAGAGCTGAAGAAGATGGATGATAAAGCTCTGCTGGTGGAGCTCCAGCTGCTGGAAAGCAAGACATATCATGCACTGAGCAACTTGCCCAAGGCCAGAGCAGCTCTCACCTCTGCCAGGACCACAGCAAACGCCATCTACTGCCCCCCAAAGCTGCAGGCTGCTCTTGACATGCAGTCAGGTACGTTTCCACAGAAGCCCTAACCAGGCATGACACCTAATTTGTCCTTCCACACTGAAAGCAAAATTGCTGTGCAACATGATACAATCGTAGCCAGTCAGAACATATTTGTTTGTATTGTAACAGTGAGACATTCACATGCATCGATAGAAACGGTGTTAGCGCACACACATGCATACAGTTTCAAATGCTCACTGCAATAACGGTGAATGTCCAATACAGTGGCAGAACTCTGCTCGATGCTTCTCAGAAAGCTATATCACCTCCATTTTGGTGTGTTTTAGGAGCGTTTGTGTTTAATCTGTCTTTTTAAACACACAGCCAATTTATTCATCACATATGCACTCACAGTTGGAAATTTGCAACTTTGCCGTGTCAATTTCACAATGAAAGCATCCAAACTACAATAGTTAACATGTATAACAAATGCAAAGTGTCCAATATGTAAACAATAATATACACACTAACTCCAGCACAGACTGCGTATTTTAAACACTCATGACAAATGTCACTACCTGCTTCTCACAGCTTTGCTGCCACCTAACATTTTAGCTTGATATTTGCATAAAGTCAAGCATTTTCCAACCTTTTTGAAACTCAATGCTTGCTCCGGTGCACTGTCAATCACACAATTCACTGTGCGAGCGTGAATTCAACTCCTATAGGAAAGAACTGAAAACGCTTGCTCTGCATCAGTGGGCACGCACCATTACAGTATTAGCAGCCATACTTCATCCTGCATTATCATACATCTACTTCCGGCGCTGCACGGTGGCGACGAGTGTCTGTGGCACATCAGTTGAGTTTGTTTGTTTCGTCTTGTTTTGTTTATTTGGTATTTGAAACCTATCGGGGCCCTTAAAGATGCGTCTTGTAGTGCTTCTGTATGGGCTGATGTTCATTGCTTATTTGCTGCTACCAGTCGCGACACGGATCTTAACAACTGGAGAGCACGCCGCTACAGCTGAGCAGATTGGCACTGTTACTGGTGTTTTTCGCTATAGTCGGGAACAACTCTGGCAGCTGAGACAATATGGTGATCGAATTTCACTGGAATTACCAAGAGAGTGTACGAGGGGGAATAAAACAATAAGGAGACGGAGGAGAGGTCGGCGTGCCGGGGTGAGGCGGAAGGTCCGGGCCCGAGGTAACAAACTGCCTCTACCGACAGTGATATTTGCCAATACACGGTCTCTTTCCAAGCAACTACCGGAACTTCAGTCGGCTGTGAGGTATTTCACTGAGTATAGAGACAGTTGTTTGCTGTGTTTTACAGAAACATGGCTTAAAGACACGATTGGCAACTCTTTACTTCGGGTCGCGGGTTTCAGTGATCCTGTGAGAACTGATCGTGATCCACTTGTAACTGGGAAGAAAGTTGGTGGAGGTGTGTGCGTCTACGTAAATGAGAGATGGTGTAAGAACTACACAGTGCGGGAGTCTTACTGTTCTGAAGATATTGAACTTCTGTCCTTGTCATTTAGACCCTTTTACCTCCCTAGGGAGTTTGGACAACTGTTTATAACTGTCGTCTATATTCATCCACGGGCGAACTTCCGGGCTGCGGCAAACCTTATATATGATGTTGTTGCTCGGTTGGAAAACATTGCACCAGACGCTCCTAAATTTGTACTGGGGGATTTTAATGGTTGTTCTATAGCGCATGTACTGCCTCATTTTTATCAGTACATTTCTTGTCCCACTAGGGGAGAAAGGGTACTTGATTTGTGTTTTGGAAATATCAAGAATGCGTATAAGGGGTACTCAAAACCACCCTTGGGTGATTCAGACCACAATGTGATACATCTGGTTCCTCTTTATAAACAGCGGCTTAAAACCAGCAAGCCTGAGCTGAGAACCATCCAGATATGGAATGAGGAATCTGTGGACTGTCTTAGAGGATGTTTTGATTGTACAGCATGGCATGTCTTTATAGATTCTAGTGAGGACTTAAATGAGCTAAATAATGTGTGTTTTGTTGTCAGTGCTACTAAAAAGGTCGATATGCCGAAAAGAACGAATGTCTTATCACTGTTACTTCAATCCTTTAGGCCCGTCTGGTCTCTTTATACTTTGACACCAAACGTTACCAAGAGGCTCTACAGCTTGGTGAGTCCCTGACAATACCTTCCCTCGTTGTCGGCACTTTCATGTTCTTAAGCTTGAGCGATGTATTTGCAGTCTGTAACCACTGTCCTCTTCTTCCTTGTCAATCAGGCTCTCAGCTCCTGCAAGAGCTGAAGAAGATGGATGATAAAGCTCTGCTGGTGGAGCTCCAGCTGCTGGAAAGCAAGACATATCATGCACTGAGCAACTTGCCCAAGGCCAGAGCAGCTCTCACCTCTGCCAGGACCACAGCAAACGCCATCTACTGCCCCCCAAAGCTGCAGGCTGCTCTTGACATGCAGTCAGGTACGTTTCCACAGAAGCCCTAACCAGGCATGACACCTAATTTGTCCTTCCACACTGAAAGCAAAATTGCTGTGCAACATGATACAATCGTAGCCAGTCAGAACATATTTGTTTGTATTGTAACAGTGAGACATTCACATGCATCGATAGAAACGGTGTTAGCGCACACACATGCATACAGTCTCAAATGCTCACTGCAATAACGGTGAATGTCCAATACAGTGGCAGAACTCTGCTCGATGCTTCTCAGAAAGCTATATCACCTCCATTTTGGTGTGTTTTAGGAGCGTTTGTGTTTAATCTGTCTTTTTAAACACACAGCCAATTTATTCATCACATATGCACTCACAGTTGGAAATTTGCAACTTTGCCGTGTCAATTTCACAATGAAAGCATCCAAACTACAATAGTTAACATGTATAACAAATGCAAAGTGTCCAATATGTAAACAATAATATACACACTAACTCCAGCACAGACTGCGTATTTTAAACACTCATGACAAATGTCACTACCTGCTTCTCACAGCTTTGCTGCCACCTAACATTTTAGCTTGATATTTGCATAAAGTCAAGCATTTTCCAACCTTTTTGAAACTCAATGCTTGCTCCGGTGCACTGTCAATCACACAATTCACTGTGCGAGCGTGAATTCAACTCCTATAGGAAAGAACTGAAAACGCTTGCTCTGCATCAGTGGGCACGCACCATTACAGTATTAGCAGCCATACTTCATCCTGCATTATCATACATTATTGTTGTTGATCACTGAAGAGTTGCCACAGATACAAAAAGAATTTCCGAAAGGACAATAAACTAAACTAACTAACTAAACTAACTAACTTATCGATACTGAGCCATCGTCCTGCAAATGTTTAATTAATAGTTATGTGCATTATTTAAGCTGAGCAAATGGAGGGAAAACAGATCATGTGTACTATAAGGATTTACCCGATTTGTCAATGTGGGAATTTTGGAGCTCGTATCGGGTATGCCTATATCTAGTTATTGTACTGAGTGCATCACATCCTCTTTTTTTTTTCTTCCCTTTGCAGGCATTATTCACGCTGCTGAGGAGAAGGACTGGAAGACAGCATATTCATACTTTTATGAGGCTTTTGAAGGCTATGATTCTATTGACAGTCCTCGTGCCATCACTGCACTCAAGTACATGCTCCTCTGCAAGATCATGCTCAACTCGTGAGTCCTGGGGTTTTCTAGTGTCTCTCACTTTTTCTTTCTTTTCTTTCTTCATTAAACACTTTGAACTCGCTAAACCTGTATGTCTTTGTCTTTACAGGCCAGAGGATGTGCAGGCCCTGATCAGTGGAAAGCTTGCCCTCAGATATGCTGGCAGACAGGTAGATGTCTGAGCTGAGCTCAATCTCATGGTGCAGCTGGAAACACAGGAATAAATTACATTTTATAATATATTCAAATAAAAAAGTTATTTTTCAATTGTAGTAATATTTCACAATATTACGATTTTACTGTTTGCTTTTTTTTATCAAATAAATGCAGCTTTTTAAGCACAAGAGACCTCGGTCAAATATATTTCAAACAATTTTTAAAAAAAAATAAAAAAACCCTAAACTTTTGAACAGTAGTGTAAAAATAGAAAATTGAGGATTAAATCACAGCCTGGGGTGGAACCTGCGAACTCACTTGGTACTTAGACTGACATTAAAATACCATCCCAGACTGCAGCACACATTTCATAGTATCCAACCATTTTCACAAGGTTATATGACCTTGGATGTTATATGACCACCTGGCCCTGTGTGCTGCTTGACAAGGTGACGTTTTTCTGTTGTGTCTGTTGGTGGAGGATTATGTGGATTAACTTGTCCTGTCTCTCTCTTTCTGTAGACGGATGCACTTAAATGTGTGGCCCAAGCCAGCAAGAACAGGTCACTTGCAGACTTTGAGAAGGTGGGTCAGATGCTCTGACTTAAAATGTTACCTTGTTCTCAGTCCACCTGCTGTTTTTTTATTTTATTTAATGTCCTTCTCTCTGATCTGCATTCAGGCTTTAACAGAGTACAAAGCTGAGCTGCGGGAGGATCCCATCATCAGCACCCACCTGGCCAAACTCTACGACAATCTGCTGGAACAAAACCTCATAAGGGTCATCGAGCCCTTCTCCAGAGTGCAGGTAATGACATGGTTTACCTCAGTGTGAGGTGATGTGTGCTTTAAACACTTACATTGCGCACTAAAATTGTTCTTCTATGCCAACAGATTGAACACATTTCTGAGTTAATAAAACTCTCCAAGGTAAGGACTCGTCCCGTTGAATTTGCAATTAAAACATCTACCTTCTGTCTTAACCTCTTAAATGGGATGGAAATTCTCACTGTTCCTTTACAGCCATGAGTGCAGTTTTGTTTTAAGCAATTCTCATCCTTTCTCTTCTATTATCTCTTCAGGGGGATGTTGAAAGGAAACTGTCACAGATGATTTTAGACCAGAAATTCCATGGTATGCCATCATCCTTGTCTTGGTAACTTGATAAGTGTGCTGTCAAACACAGGACTGGGTGTAAATGCAGATTTATAGATTTGATTCCGATTTTCATTTGATTCTGTGATTTATTTGGGTATAATTTAGTTAGAAATGAAAAAGATTCTCTCTACTAATGCTGTGAATTATACACTGTAAAACCCAATGACATGATTTTATTTGAGGAAACTGATTTCCTCTATTTAATTATAAAAAAATGAATATTTATGAGTACTTTCATTTCTTAATATAAAATTAAACTATAAACTCTGCTTAAATACCTGGTATAGATGAAACGTTACTGAATTAAAAACATTAATATATTAAGAAAAATTAAATTAACTCTAAACCCTATTAGTAACATTTAATTTGAACATAAATTCTTATACAGTCCAAAGCGAAGCATGCTGGGAGGTAAAAATCTACTGTAACTCATTCAGTTTGCATTCTTGATATAATCAGTTACTGAGTTCACATACCTTTTTTTTTTTTTAAGTGCAATGAACTTTTAGTAATATTTAAGAGAAACAACGAATTCAATAAATTTTAGGAATTGGGCTTCACTGTATGCGCTGTATGATTTGGTCTATATTTCTACCCAGCCCTAGTCAAACATGCATGTATTATGTTATAAAATTAAATATTTGTGGACCCCCCAGGTGTTTTTACTGAGTTATAATGTGGCTTTCTCAATGCATTTAGGAATCCTTGACCAAGGGGAAGGTGTCCTGATTGTTTTTGACGAACCTCCAGTAGACAAAACGTATGGAGCCGCCCTTGAAACAATTCAGAACATGAGCAAAGTAGTGGACTCGCTCTACAACAAAGCCAAGAAATTGACATAGGCAAGTGCATGTTGTGCTTTGTGCATAATATTGATACTTGATCTCAGAGTGACATGGCATTACATTGAAAAATGACTCATCTCGGCTGATCTCAGCTCTGTCTTTTGTGCAGGTTGAGCATTGGACCCTGCAGCTGAGAGCATGGCCAGTGTGGGGGACTCTGAGGGAAGGAGAGGGGGATGTGATGCAGACATCAAGTCAAAAAAAAAGGTCTAAAACCCCAAAAACGGACTGACTCCTGCTTTTGTCCTCTGGCTTTCACTTGGACATTTTTTACCACCTTCCTCAATGGACAAACTACTTCTACTACTATGGGATCACTTTTTTTTTTTCTTTGCTGGTAATGCATTTCTTTGTATCTTGGCTGTGCCTAATGGGCCATCAGGGAATCTTCAAAGAAATAAAAACTCACTTGCATTATAACTCTATTTGAAATGTATTTACATAGATCTCTCATAGATCAAAGCTGATATGAGAATGATTCGGTTCCCTTGCCAATCCAGGGGCCATTGTGTCGAGTGAGCTGTTGACAAGATTCCCTCCATCACCAATCGAACGGTTTTAGCCCCAACTCCGATCCCCTAAGGAAGCCCCTGGCCTCGCTCCAGGCCTACCTCTCGTGTGGACACCATACTTGGACTTTTTATATTGGGTGGAAAAATTCTGATAAGATGCTGTCATCAGGACGGGGTCGTGAGCTGTTGTCATTCCCTGGCCTGTGCATTCCTGCCCTTCCTCCTTGTACATACCGTTGCCAAGCGCCTCTGTCTGGCCTGTCATGCTATTGCCCTTTTTTATAACGCTAAAAAACATAATAAAGTCATCAAGAGAACAAGACTCTGAGTGCTTCTGTATGAGATCCTAGGATTCAGAGCACCTGATTGGCATCTTTTGGGGATTGTTTTGTGCTTGTATAAATGCTTGTATTACTTTTTTTTTCTCACAGCTTAATATTAAGTTGACTGCAAGTAAGAGTGCTAGTAGATTTACCTGAAAAGTGTGAATGCCCCTGTGTGGTAGAGCATCTCGGTCGTGAGGTCTGTTAAATACCCTTTCATAACCAGCTGAGCCAATTGTGAGTTTGGGATTAATGTTTACACACACACACACACACAC